GATGATTGGATGATTAGTTTTTAAGATGTCATCAAACTCTTTGCTCTCTTGTTTTGGCTGATAAAATGAGTAATTTCAAGGGCTGGATAAAACTGTGGATCTAAGCATCCACTGAGTCAGCAGCCAGGGGATAAAATCCAAAAGCACTGTTTATAGGACAGAAAGAAATAAAGTGCCAGCTCAGCAAAAGGTCGCCAACTGGTCCTTTCCACAACCATATCCCACACACACACCCTGTTCCAGGACCTTCGGCAGCATTTCCGCGGTATTGAGTCTCAGTCTGTGGCAGGCAAAACAACAAAGAGTGTTGTGGCACCCAGAAGACGACTACATTTATCCTGGCATCATCTTTTGTCTGTTTCCTCAGTTGTGCGTGTGTGTGTGGACAGAGAGATGTAGATTTCCAGAGTAAATTTCAAAGGCACTAAGGGGAAATTGCAAAATAATAATGCATCAAGACATTCGATTCTATTTGCCTTGTGCTGAATCAGGATCAAATGGTTTTTAAAATCATGCAGTATATAAGTTAACAGAGTCACCATTGCAATTCGGTCTGTGTTTCGAACCCCGCAAGGCAAGAAGCACAGTCCTCATTGTTTTATTTTTTGGCATTCCCGTTCCTTCGGACATCTCCACCCACTCCCCCTTGCTCTCTGCACGCGTGTGAAAATATGCCCATTTGTGGTCAGCGCTTCTGGCATCAGCGCAAGCAGCCGGTGCGCCACGAAAGCTTGCGTGGGATTCAGTGCATCGATCTTCAAGGTGTCACAAGACTCTTTGTTGTTCTCGCTGCCACGGGTTAGCCCGGGCTGCCTCCAGTAGAAACCCTACCAGCAGGCGCTTCCCAGATCCGGAAAATAAAACCCGGTTACCTCTCCACAGCGCAGGGCAGCAGCTCCGCTGGGCATCATTGCGGCTGTGCGAGCCGCATTTTGCATTTCTTAGGGCAATCTTTGCAAAAAAGGAAACCCTCCCCTAAGAGGGCTGCTCAGGAAGTTACAGACCCTTGTATTTCCATAGGGGCCCCCACCCCAACCTCCACAAATTTCTGGGCTTCTCTAGGAATCCGAGCTCTGATGTTAACCCTTCTATTCCTGGAGAAAAGCATGCATGCAAGGCACAGACTAATTACACATGCATTCTGATTTTCCTCCCTTTTCCTTCTTCATGAACAATTGCCCGGTAGTGAGGTTTAGTATCTAATGAATTGTTTAATTTATTTGTTTGAATGCCTCCTATTAGCATCACACTCTCTGGGCGGCCACTACAATAGAAATGCGAATAAAACAATACAAAGGTTGCTAACTCGGTCCCTCTGCATACAGATGAGGGTCCAACTTGCTCCCAGCACCCTGCGCTTGGGCAGGTAACAACAGCCAGCTTTTCAACCACCTGCAGATCAAGACTGTATTAAAGGCACAAGAGCAGAGCAGAGCAGTTTCCCTGGCAAATTGGCAACCCAGAGTGACAGGCAGAAAGCCTTCCCCAACCTGACTTAGAAACATAGAAACAGAGCGAGTCAGAAGGGGCCTCCCGGCCATCTAGTCTGACCCTCGGCTCCAGCTCATGACATGCCTGCCATGTGCATGTCCAGCCTATCCTTGAACACCCGCACCAATGGGGTTTCAGCCACGTTCTGTGGAAGCCCATTCCATACCCTCGGGGTCCTAACCATCAGGAAATACTTCCCGCCATCCACCCTAAATCTTGGTTCCCTGAGCTTTGCTCCATTGGAACATGTCCTGCCCTCCACTGCGGGGGGGAAAGGGTCATGGCCCACCTCTGTGTGGCACCCCTTCACATACCTGTATGTCACTAACAGGCCCCCTCTGAGTCTCCTCCTCTCAAGGCTGAAGAGACCCAGTTCCCTCAGTCTCTCCTCCCATGGCTTACCCTGCAAACCAGCCACCATCCTAGTGGCCCATCGCGGCACTGATTCCAACCTCGCTATATCCCTCTTGTAATGAGGGGCCCAGAACTGAACACAATACTCCAGCTGCGAGCGCACCAGAGTTTTATAGAGCGGCAGTAATACCTCTCTCGATCTACACTTCTGGCTATGCTTCCAAGGGTGTCACGCTGCTTCCTCAAGAAGTCCATAGTAAAGTCGAAAGGGGGGCAAAGGCCATCGGGTCCAACCCTCTGCTCAGCATAGGGACTCCCAGTTAAACCATCCCTTTCAGATGGCTGTCCAGTTGCATCTTGGAGGCCTCCAGTGTGGGAGAGCCCACCATCTCCCCAGGTCATGGGTTCCATTGCTTGTACTGCTCTAACAGTCAGGAAGTTTTTCTGATCTCTAGCTGGAATCTGGTTCCTGGAACTTGAGCCTGGTATTCCTTGCCCTGCGCTCTGTGATGATCAAGAAGAGATCCTGGCCTTCCCAGGCTAAACATGCCCAGTTATTTCAACCTGTATTTTTATGATTGAGCTGAGAACTACCCAGAAAGCCTCTGCCTATGGGGCAGCATACCAATGAAATCTGTCTGTCTGTCTGTCCTTTGTTTCCAGTCCACAGATCATCTCTGTTGCCCCACTAACTTGTTCCAGCTTGTCTGCTTCTTTCTTGAAGTGTGGTGCCCAGAACTGGCTGCAGTACTCCAGATGAGGCCTAACCAGTGCCAAATTTAGGGGAACCAGTACCTCACAGATAGTGTCTGCCTTTTCTGCAGACGCATCACATTCTTGACTCAAATTCAACTTGTGATCTACAACAATTCCAAGATCCTTCTCTCTTGTAATGCCGAGCCAAGTGTCCTCCATCTTGTGACTGTGCATTTACTTCCCTTCTCCTATGAGCAGAACTTGGCATCTGTCCCTATTCAATGTCATTCTGTGGCTCTCAGACCAGCACCCCATCTTACCAACAGCACTTTGAATTTTGCTTATGCCTTCAACCCAATACTGTGTCATTTGAAAATGTGATGTAATCAACACTTCTGAAAGGTGCAAAGGTGGGGCGTGCATGGAGCGCTGAACATCTGAAAAGCTGTGCTGGATTGGATCGAGTCCCTCGTCGTGTTCCCACAGGGGCCGTCCAGCTGCCCCACTGGGAAGCCCACAAGGACATCCCACGTCCCACTCTCAGTCCGATCTACCCCACAGGGCTGTTGCTGCGAGGATAAAGTAAGAGCAAAAGACCATATAAGCTGCTTAAAGGTGGGATATAAATGTAATAATACAGAACAGAGCTGCAAGGCCGCTTACTGAAAGCGATTCTTTTCAGCAGTGATTCCAATTCTGCATTTATCGCACTGGCCCCTTGTCTGTTTCTGGTGTTGGTCTTAATCTTTAACACCTGCAGGGTGCTAGTTGTAGGCATGTTTTGGCAGAAAAAAGGCCGCCGCTCCCAGCATTCCCTAGCCAGCTGGGGAATGCTGGGAGCTGTAGAAACTTTCCCTGCTTAAGCAGTATGCCCTGTGTGGCTCTAAACCAGCCTACTTAAAGCAGCCCTTCCTCCCATCCGCTTCTACCTGGCTTCTTCTTTCTAAGTGCATTCTATTGATTCCCTCCCAGGTCGATGCTGAATCGCCTGGCCTCTCCGTTGTCCGCATGGGGACCACCATCATCATCATCAACAGCAACAACAGGTCTGCTGTTAGTTCTGCAATATTGTGAAAATCATCAGGTTTTGGCTGCATGAATGCTTTGCTTCCAGGTTTCCTGGCTGTAAATTGCTCTGATGGCATTGATCAGTTGCACAGGACAGAAATCCAGTGAACAACTAATTACAATGGGGGTTTTCTTCTCTTGCATCTCCTGGGTCAGGATGTTGCAATACATACAGGAGAACATCACATCAGAAACAACTTTTCAACAATCTTTACTCAGTCAAGTGTTCAGGGGATGCAAGGGGGGAGTTGTAAAAAGAAAAAAAAGTTGCCACCTACGAAATTCCATGCAAAAGCTAATACGGAATGAACATTCCTTTTTTGGGGGGATGCACAAATCTTGAGAGAAATCTACAGAAGTCTGTTAGGAAATACTGTCCTCTCAAAACGAACAGCAAAGAAAATTTAATATAAGACGATATTATTACATTTCTGCCTTTCGTGCCTTCATAATGTTTCCAAATAACTTACCGAATACCTCAAAAGGAAAACTACATTTAAATATTTAGAAGAGTATTAGCCAGATATCATTCCTATATACTGTTCTTATATATAGATACATGAGTTGCAAACCTTTTGCCATTTATGGTATTAAAGGCCCCAGAAAAATATATAGAGATGTGATTAAGAATCTGCCATGTGAATCTCGAAGGAGTAGAGAGATTAGCAGCAAAGCTTATCTCAGGGTTTGGGAACTTGTAAGGCCTTCAGGTGGGTTTGAGACTACAACCCCCACAGCTACAATCAGCAAGGTTAGGGATGATGGGACTTGTAGTACAAGAACCTAAACAGGCCAGAGTGTGTCCACCCCTTAAGTAATGAACAAGCTCTGATATCAAGGTACAGAAGCAAGCAGACCTGGCAAGGATTATGTTGTTCTTTAAGTGCCTTAAACAAAAATGCCAAAAATAAAGATTAGTAGAGATTAAAAAAAGAGTAGTTTGAGGTTTACATTTCATATCATGCAAAGGATCAGAGACACCTGATCTATGAAGCACACCAAAGTTTGTTTTCAAAGTAACAAAAAAGGAAAGGTTTTGTCTTAGCAGATTTTAGTGGCCACAAATGCCACAGTTTCTAGCCCAGGGAGCCCCTAAAGACACTGGGCTGTCAGAATTTGGAAGTGATTGATTGGGAGAAGTCAGTATCCCAAAGGAGGAGTAGAAGGCTACAAAGAAAAGTGTGAAAGTGGATGGACTGCTAGAATACACTGAGCATCTTATTACATTCTAAGAGCAGGTGGAATCCCCTAACCAGCTCTATTCATCCCTAACTTCCTCTTCGCTGTTCATCTTCTCATGTGCAGCAACCTCTGCATCAGCACCAGCCAAGCTCTTCTCATTTTTCTCTTCCACATGGACCGTGTAGTGCCTGTGAAGTTCTGATTTAGACCTGAAGTTTTTCCCACAGTCAACACACAGGAATGGCTTTGCGCCTGTGTGGGTTCTCTGATGAGAAATGAGGTTTGAGTTCCGGTTGAAGCTTTTCCCACAGTCCATACAGATGTACGGCTTCTCTCCTGTGTGGATCTTCTGATGCCGGGTAAGGCTGGTGCTATCACAGAAGCTTTTCCCACAGTCAGAGCATATATATGGGGTACCACCAGTGTGGACTCGCTGATGTCTAACAAGACTCATGTTGGAATAATAGCTCTTCCCGCACTCAGCACACTCAAAAGGCTTCACCCCTGTGTGGGTTTTCTGATGTGTAATCAGGTTTGAGCTCCAGCGGAAGCCTTTCCCACACTCCAAGCATGTGTACGGCATCTCTCCTGTGTGAATTCTCTGATGGAGGGTAAGATCTGCTTTCCGGCAAAAGTTTTTCCCACAGTCAGCACAATTGTATGGCTTCTCTCCCGTGTGGATTCTTTGATGAATTCTAAGCTCTGACCTTTCACAGAAGCTGACTCCACACTCAGCGCATTTGTATGGTTTGTCCCCTTTGTGGATTATGGAGTGTCGGATCAGGTGTGACTTTACCCGGAAACTTTTCCCACAGTCCAAGCACTGATAAGCTTTCTCCCCTGCATGGATTCTCTGATGAATTGTGAGACCCGAGCTTTGGCAGAAACATTTCCCACAGTCTAAGCACTTGTATGGTTTCTCTCCTGTGTGGATTCTCTGATGCCTGACCAGGCTGGTACTGTAATTGAAGCTCTTCCCACAGTCCAAGCATTTATATGGCATATCACCTGTGTGGGTCACCTGAAATTCAATGATCTCCGAGTTGTCGGGAAAGCTGCTGTCATCACTCACACCAGTACCCTCCGTCTTTACCGTGCAGATTCTTTGTTGGCTTCCAGTTTCTCCAAAGAGCAGCTCACCCTCACAAGGAGTGGCTTTTCCTACTTTCTCCTCCAGGGAACTTCCTTGATGCTCTTCAGGGACCTGCCATGTTCTAGAAATTTCTTCAGACCCGTCACATTGGAAACTGTCCTCTTCTGGGCTGCCCACTGGCACCCCGTTTGTTTCTTCTTCAACAGAGCAATGCGTCTGATCTCTCTCCTCATTCGTGCTCATCAGCTCTTCACCTGCAAGAGAAAAGGGGAATAAATCTGACATCTCAGGCTCTCATTTTCTGATCTGAGCTTGCTGCAGTGAAGAACATTAGAAAAGCACTGCTGGATGAGGCCATGGGTCCATTCAGCCCACCATTCTGTTCACACAGTGGCCAACCTGCCACCCCTGAGAATCAAGCAGGACGCCAGGGCAATAGCACTCTCTTGCCCATGTTCCCCAGTCACTAGTGTACGTAGCCATTCGGGCTTTGATCCTGGGGAAAGCTTATGGCAGGGGTTGCCAACTTGCTCAACAGAAGAGCCCCATATGGTCAACGTCAGAGGTTTGAGAGCCACAAGACACAAATATTAATTCATGTTAATTATGAATAATTAATTGATGATTATTTATGATGACCAAACAGACATTGCTACAATTATCAGGCTGGTGACTGCTAATAGAGGCCTTCTGAGCCTCCATCGTGGCTGTCAGTCATTGAAGATTTTTGACAAAATTGCTTTGGAAGCTTCGACAGGGACCCCGTCCTCCCCTCAGCTCTAGCAGGGCCTGTGGAGGAAGCAATCTGATTTCACACACTAGTGCTGGCTTCAGTTCTGTACTTCATCTGATAAGGCCTGTCCCGGCCCAGCCCGGCTCCGTGCAGGAGGAGAATAGGGCCCTACTATGCTATAGGTTTTCTCAGCCCCTCTGCAAGCTGCAAAATAGACTCAAAGAACTGCATGTGGCTCATGAGCCTCGGTTTGGCCACCCCAGCTTACGATCATGAAGACTAGTTCTTTCTTTAAGAGCATTGCAAGAGAGCCACCTAGTCCAGAACTGGGTTCATACAGTGGCTAATGGGAAAGCCACAAGCAGCTCACGAGTGTAACAGCACTCTCCTACCCATGTTCCCCAGCAACTGCCTCTAATACTAGAAGTAGCCTATGACCATGAGGACTAGCAGCATTGATAGCCTTCTCTTTTGCTAATTTGTCTAATCCCTTTTAAAATCACCCTGTGTGCTCCTGGGTACTTGATTACCTTAATCTGAGGATAATAAAAAAGGAAAGATCCTGAAAAGATTTAGCCAGATGGTTTTGTGTGTTTAGCTCATCTTTCCCACCCTGGCTTCTCAGGGGAGCACTGGAATCTTCTACATGGCTAAACATGTAATTCTAAAAGCTTGCAAAAAGAGAACCGATGTGGTATGGAGGTGCAAGAGTTGGACTGAGGACCTAGGAGATCCGGATTCTAGTCTCCACCAGGCCATGAAGCCCACTGGATGACTTCAACCTAACCTACCTCATAGGGGTGTTGTTGTGCGAACAACATGGAGCTAAGTAAGCCACTGTGGGTTCCTCGTAACGGGGGGGGGGGGGATGGGACATAAATACAATGTAATAGTAACATTAATTGTCTGCCTCCTATGATAAATAGAGGAATGTTCCCATGACAGAAAGAAAGATTCGCAAAAGAAGATGAACAATCTGATTGTGAAGGCTTCTCAGCCCTGGCAACAAGCGAAAAGGGTGTTTCTTTTTGATTCCAGAAGGGACCTGTTGAGAGCAAAGGCTACAGGTGCAAAAGTAATTTTAAAAATCTACCTGTTAAGAAATCCAGCTGTTACAGATCTAAACCTGTGTTTGCAATCGAGGATATTTAAAAATCACTTAATCATTCAAGTTTCATTTTGCCATCTCACTCAGCTTGAAATCTGTGAAATTGGAATCCTGGCTGCAAGACTTTGGGGATCATACAGTTTTCTTCCTTGGAAGCAAAAAAGATATACATTTTTCCAAGGAATAAATGCGGAAAGGCCTGGTGTAAAAACACTCCCACACAATTTTCCAAAGAGAGATTGATTCAGGGAAGCAAACGCTAAATGCCCTTCTTTTGATTCCACCCACACAGCTTTGTTTTAGGACAGTTGAGCGTCCCAAGATACATTCAAATTTGGCTTGGAGTAATAAGATATTCCCCTAAAACCATCTGTTTATTTGTTCCTTGTTTTAAGATTAACTGAGGGCTATGGAAACATCCCCTTATGTTAGTCTTTTGCTGAAGTTCTGCTCCATAGTTCCCGACCTCCGGAGGTGAGCTCAGAGGCTATGGAAGAGCAGGGCTTTCTCTGTGGTGTCACCCAGATTCTGGAATGCAACCCACACGGACAGCGCAAGGTACCCACTTTATCATGACACCAATAAAAAGCTAGTACTCCCTTGGTTTGCCCAAGCATTTGTTACACAGAACTTCAAGTCATTCTCTGAGCTATTAATATCAGATGTTTTCACCGTACCATTGTTACAACCAGGAGTCGGAAAACAGTTCAGATTGAAAAGGGCTTGTAGCTCCGTGGAAAAGCCCTTGCTTTGCATGTGGAAATTCCCAGCTTCAAATGCCAGTACTTCCGGGTAGGACTGGAAAAAATCCTGCATGGCACCCTGGAAAACTGCTGGTGATAAGGCTTCCACTGCAAATTAGCTCTGTCTCTCTGTACCTGGCAGACAACCTGCCAGGTACCATAGACAGACAACCTGCCCCACCAGAAACTTCAGGTCAACCTGAATCGTACACTCCATCTTAAAGAACATGCACACCACCATGTTTGAAACTCTGGAAGTCTTTACCTAGAGGGCTGGCAACTCTAGTATCACCATCCGGGAAGGCCTGATTATGTTCACAGTCCAACACAGCCTGTTCAACCCCAGAGAAATTAGGGCCTGCCTCTTTAGCTGACGCCTGAAACAGAAATGAAGATACCAGTCAGCAAAGAAGAAACAGGGACATTGCTGAAAACAGAGAATGCTATAGCAGGAAAGAACCGCAAATGTCATTTATTCCACAGAATTCTTGCCAATTCAGGAAACTGTGGCTGCAGCGTTCCTGGGGTGCTCCTTTGCTGGGAATCCCACCCATGCAAGAGAAAGATTTTCTCCCAAGCATCAGTATGCCAGAATCAAATTCTGCATCAGCACCTCTGAGAGAAGAACAGTTCAAACTTGGTGACAGTGACAAGAAGAATGCAAGTGACAAGATTGCAAAATCTATTTTCTTTCTTTCTTTCTTTCTTTCTTTCTTTCTTTCTTTCTTTCTTTCTTTCTTTCTTTCTTTCTTTCTTTCTTTCTTTCTTTCTTTCAAGAAGCAAACATTGGCATGTATGATCTTGACATTTCCCCCTCCGCGTTGTATCTGTGCCGGATGGTGACTTTGTTTCCCTAGTCCTAAAGTAATCCTAACCCGGCCTTCCCCAGCCTGGTACCCTCCAGATATTCCTTGACTCCAGTTCCCATTGGTCCCAGCAAAAATGGCAAATGGTCAGAAGTGCTTAGCAGTTGTTGCCCAAAATATTAGGAGATACTTCCCAAGTCAGGAAAGGTCGCAGTAACTACCACACCAAGTGTAAACTCTTCATGGAGAAGACACAAGGAACAAAGCACCTTGCACAAAGAAAACTCAGAAGGGAAAATACATAGAAAGAGAGCGAGTCAGAAGGGGTCTCCCGGGCCATCTAGTCTGACCCCCGGCTCCAGTGGCTCCGCTCACGACATGCCCACCATGTGCACGCCCAGCCTATCCTTGAACACCCGCACCGATGGGGCCTCAACGACCTCCCGTGGAAGTCCAATACTTCTAAGTCACGCCTTCTCACTGACATACACATCTTCTATGTTTCTATGTTTTATGTATTTATTTGCAAGGCTTATATACCACTCTGTATTCCAGTACAGAGATCTCAGAGCAGGGAACGATAAAAGATAAATCAGAGAAAAAAATCAAAAGCTTCAGATAGCTCGCTCAGGGAGTCATCGCAGTGTTTTCGGGAGGTGCCAAAAACAGTAAAATGCTGCTGCCGGCTGGACGGCCCGGAGTCAGGGACCTGCACAGAAAGGGGGCCAACACCTGGAAGGGCCTCCTCTGGGCAGCCTCCATTCCAGAGGCTAGAGCTCCACAAGGAAACACCAAGAACGGGCTCATTGATGACCTCAGTGGCTGGGCAAGTTGGTAAGGGGGAAGGTGCTTTCTCAAGCAGGACTTGAAACCGGGCTGGGCAGGGAAGAGGCAGCCAGAGGCAGCCAGTGCAGCTCTGTCAGGGAGGGAGCTGCCTGCTGAGACAAGGCCGCTCCAGCTGAGCTGCTGTGGTCCAGGGTAACTCCCATTTCCAAACCAAAGAAACACAGAACACAGAAACAGAGTGAGACAGAAGGGCTCTCCTGGGTGATCTAGTATGTATGTATGTATTTAAAGTTTTTATATGCCATCCCCATTGCTACACAGCCTCGGGACAGCTCACAACAGTAAATAAATAAAACAAATACAATTACAATTACAATTAAAACTTGGAAACACACTGGCTGCACAATTAAAACTGTAAATATTAAAGATGATTAAAATACTGTTTGAATAAAAAGGTCTTGGCCTGGCACCGAAAAACAAATAACGACGGCGCCAGGCGGACCTCTCTGGGGAGCGCATTCCACAGATGGGGCGCCACCGCAGAGAAAGCCCTCCTCCGAGTACTTTGCCTCCTGATGTCTTTCATGGAGGGCTCCCGGAGAAGGGCCTCTGCTGCTGATCTCAAGGGGTGGGAGGGCAAATATGGAAGAAGGCGTTCCTTTAGGGATCCGGGTCCCAAGCCATTAAGGGCTTTATAAGTGATTACCAACACCTTGAATTGAGCCCGGACTTCAATTGGAAGCCAGTGAAGCTGGTAGAGGACTGGGGTTATATGAAAACAACGCCCAGTCCCCGTCAGCAACCTGGCTGCTCTATTTTGCACCATCTGAAGTATCCGGACTGTCTTCAAGGGCAGCCCCACGTAGAGCACGTTACAGAAATCCAACCAGGAAGTAACCAATGCATGCGTCACTGTCGCTAGGCAGTCGTCCTCCAGGTAGGGATGCAGCTGATGGATTAGCCGAAGCTGATGGAAAGCGCTCCTCGCCACCGCCGACACTTGAGCTTCCAAAGTCAGCTCCAGGTCGAGGAGCACTCCCAAGCTGCGGACCCTGTCCTTTAGAGGGAGTGCAACCCCATTCAGGACAAGATCCAAGTCACCTACCCAGGAGTTCGAACCACCTGCCAGCAGGACCTCTGTCTTGTCTGGACTGAGCTTCAGTTTATTGGCCCTCATCCAGCCCATTACCTCAGCCAGGCACCAGTTCAGCACACCCACTGCCTCACCTGGATTGGTTGAAAAAGAGAGGTAAAGCTGGGTATCATCAGCCTACTGATGATTCCGCAGCCCACACCTCCTGATGACCTGTCCCAGCGGTTTCATGTAGATGTTAAACAGCAAAGGGGACAGAATGGACCCCTGTGGTACTCCATGGCATAGCTGCCATGGCGCAGAGCCATAGTCCCCCAGCACCACCTTCTGGAATCGGCCGTTGAGATAGGAGCAGAACCACTGCAAAGCAGTGCCTCCAACCCCCAGTCCCGCAAGCCTATCCAGGAGGATACCGTGGTCGATGGTATTGAAAGCCGCTGAGAGGTCCAGGAGAACCAACAGGGACTCCCCCTGTCCTTCTCCCTGCACAGGTCATTGTACAGGGTGACCAAGGCAGATTCAGTACCGTACCCGGGTCTGAAGCCAGACTGAAATGGGTCCAGATAATCAGTCTCATCCAAGAGAGCTTGGAGTTGTCCCGCCACCACCCACTCCAACACCTTGCCCAAAAACAGGATGTTGGCCACCGGTCTATAAATGGCTGCCATCTCTGGATCCAGGGACGCCTTCTTTAGGACCAGCCTGACCATCGCCTCCTTTAGAGGGGCAGGCACCCGGCCATCCTTCGGAGAGGTGTTGATGACCTCCTGGATCCAGGAACCCACCCCATGTTTGGCTTTGGATAGTAGCCACGATGGGCAGGGGTCCAGCACAGAGGTGGTGGTACATACTCGTCCAAGCACCTTGTCCATGTCATCAGGCCACAATAACTGAAACTCATCCAACAATGTGTGACCAGACGGTAACATCGGCACCTCCCCTAAGGAATCTGAGTCACTAGTGGAGTCCAGCTCGTGACGAATCTGAGCGACTTTCTCCTTGAAGTGCTGGGCAAAGTCATCACAGCAGGTTTATTTATTTATTTTATTTATTTATTAAAACATTTTATCGAGGGTTATCGAGGGTGGTACAGGATCTTTCTTGGGGCCTGGCTGTACCAGCCCCTGTACCACCCGAAAAAGTTCCGCTGGATGGCACTGTGAGGAGGCAATGGAAGTGGAGAAGAATTTCTTTTTCGCCGCCCTCACCACCACAGCATACGCCCGATAATGGGCTCTTGAGTGTGTTTGGTCAGATTCATCCTGAGATTTCCTCCACCTATGCTCTAGCCGTCTCCCAACCTGCTTCATCGCCCGTAATTCAGGTGTGTACGTTCATGGGTCGGGCCAATGAAATGTTGAGACAGCCCCATGGCTGTCATGGAGGCCATGAAGTCCTGAGCCGCCCCGGTCAGACCAGTCTCGGCATGGAGATTGAAGTCCCCCAGGACCAACATCCTGGGGGTCCTCAACACCAGGTCCGAGACGATCTCCGTCAGCTCAGGCAGGGAGACTGTTGGGCAGAAGGGTGCACGGTACACCAACAGAATCCCCAATCTGTCTCGGTCGCCCAACACCAAGTAGAGGCACTCCAGCCCTGGCCTCGAAGGGACCAGGAGTCCCGTGAGGGAGATGGAGGCTCGGTAAACCAAAGCGACCCCCCTCCCCTCCCCTCCAGGCGTGAACAGTGCTGAACCAGATACCCGGGCGGGCACATTTGAGAGATGGATACGTCCCCCCCTCTCCCGTCCAGGTCTCTGTGATGCAAGCCAGGTCGGCCCCCTCATCCACAATCAAGTCGTGGATGAGGGATGTTTTATTATGGACCAACCTGGCATTAAGTAACAGCACCGTCAGGCCTGAGGGGCAGTTGATAAGCATACCTGGAACCTTCCGGCTGGGGGAATAACCAGAAGGGGGAACAGGTGTCAACCATCTGTCCCTCCTTCTTCTATGCAGACCCGTTAATTCCCCAATGCCATAATGACCTTTGCCCATGACCACCCCAATGGCGGCGCCCATGCGCTCCCCAGGCAACCCCATAGAAGCAGCCAAGTGTGAATCCATTAAAAACAGACAGAATAAAACCAGATAAAAACAATTACAAGCAATAAAACCTCACCACCCCCCAACAGCAAATTAAAGAAGCCGACCCACAAAGTCCCTGGCCAGCCCAGCCCTTGCACGGCCCCGAACGGCCCCAGTGGCGTCACCGCCTTTAGGCTGACACCCTTCGGCTGCCGGCCCCGGTCCCGGCCGGCGAGTTAAAGCCCATATGAGCCCCAGCTCCAGCCAGCTCCACTTATGACATGCCCACCATGTGCATGTCCAGCCCATCCTTGAGCACCCTCACCAGTGGGGCTTCAGCCACCTCCTGTGGAAGCCCATTCCATACCCTCGGGGTCCTATCAGGAAGTACTTCCTGGCATGCACCCTAAAACTTGGTTCCCCGAGCTTGGCTCCATTGGAACATGTCCTGCCCTCCACTGCGGGGGGAAAAGGGTCATGACCCACCTCTGCATGGCACCCCTTCACATACCTGTATGTCACTAACAGGTCCCCTCTGAGTCTCAGTCTCCTCTTCTCCAGGCTGAAAAGACCCAGTTCCCTCCGTCTCTCCTCCCATGGCTTACCCTGCAAACCAGCCACCATCCTAGTGGCCCATCGCGGCACTGATTCCAACCTCGCTATATCCCTCTTGTAATGAGGGGCCCAGAATTCAACACAATACTCCAGCTGTGGATGCACCAGAGTCATACAGAGTGGCAGTCTTAGGGCAGCCCCACGCACAGAGCACCAGAATCATCCAGAGCTGAGGTTATGGCCACATGAGGCCACGGTGGCTCCTCCAGACCTGAGGGACTGCAGTCCATTGGTGGGTAATGGGCCAAAGGTGGAACAGGCAGGTTAGGTTCAAAAGCAAATATCATGCGGCCCAGAATACCAATATATTATTATTATATTTATTTGGATTTATATTCTACCTATTCCCAGTACTGGGACTTGGTTTAGCCCTTCCTGCCAGCAATGACACTTTTGTGTGTCAAGCTTTGAGAACAGGGGAAATGATGCATGAAAGCCCCAGAGTCCCTGAAAGGTTGTGGGAAAGGTGGCTTGTGGCCCTCCGGGGAACCCTGGAAGGGGAGTTCGGGACCCCAGGAGGGCCAGATAAGTACCTGGCATTCCTCATCCCTGGTCCCAGGTGTTACCACCTGATTTAAGACCTTTTGTGGTTTTTTCCACCACAGGGTGATGTCCACACCACAGGAACTGGAATGCCCTGACTGATCTCGGCCCGGCTACTCAGCAATCTACCGGCTGATCTCCCAATTTGCTTTAAAGGATGGCTGGCACAAACCAGGCAGACTCACTAGGAGAACCTGGCCAGAATGATTTTAAGTGCTGTCATTTTAAATGAGGAACCCAAGATGGGTGTCAGCAGCACCCTGGCCCCCGGCAAGATTCTGGGGCCCTGGCAACTACCCATGGATGCCAGGCACCAACACCAGCCCCAGCTACACTAGCTCAGTCAGGACTCATCTCAAAGTATAAAGGCGTTGGGGATTGTGGCCGAGACAAAGCTCCTCACCTGCTCCTCCTGCCTGTCCACCTTCCGCTTCTTCGGCTGGAAGCCTTCAGCCAGGGCCACAGCCTGGGCGCACGTCTTCGGGCAACCTTCCACCACCCAGCTCTGCGTCTCCGGGGGCAGGATGGCCAGGAACTGCTCCAGGATCAGCAGCTCCAGGATCTGCTCCTTGCTGTGCCGCTCCGGCTTCAGCCACCGGCAGCAAAGAAACCAGAGCCGGCTGCAGGCCTCCTGGGGCCCCTCGGAGTCCCGGTAGCGGAACTGCCGGAATTGCTGGCGCTGGATCTCCAGCAAGATGGCATCCTCGTCCGGGACCTCTTCCTTCGCCTGCCCAGAGGAAGACGAGTCTCTGCAGGCCTCCTGGAATTCTCCATCGAAGCCCAGCTGGGTTTGGGTCTCCCGTTCTTCTGTGAGGCATTGGCTGCCTCCTGCCTCCACCTTGGGAGCAGGTGGAGATGCCTGAGCACCCATCTGGCGAGAGGACTCCAGGCCGTGTGGGCTCAGGACACCAGAGCTAGGGGACCTGACGGTCTTTTGGGCCTCCTGACGTCGTGTCTCTCCGCACAGGAGGTTCCCCTCTGCTGGCTCATGTTTAATTGGCTTTCCAGGGGATTTTGGAAGGAAAGCCTCCACGGCTGGAGTGACAGCAGGCCCGTTCTCCCCCTCCTCCCCTGCTGAGGGGTCAGCTGCCTCCGCCTCCACCATGAGGCCTGGTTCCTCTTCCCCCCGTTCCTTTTCCACTTCCAATGGCACCATCGGCTCTGTTTTGGCCTGGAGCTCGACTCCAGAACCAAAGGCTGCTCCCTCCTCGGCAGCCATCTTGCGCAAGGCGAATTCACTAAACCAGGTTAGCCTCCCAAGGGGTCTTTGTTTCTCCTCTCGAAGCACAGGGAATCCCAGGCTAGAAAGCAGCTAAGGACAAGAGCGGAGAACCTTCCAGAGGGGCTTCACCCTGAAAGAAAAACATGTGAATCAGAATAAGAGCCAGCAACCATCTTTGCTTTGTTTGGAAGAGGTTTTGACTATTCAGCATACCTCACTACAGTGAGATATGTGCAGAATTAGAACAGTGCAGAATTAGAACAGACCCTCGTGGCTGAGTTTTGGTTATCACGTCTTCATTCACGCATTCACACAAACTCATTATGGGTTATGATGGATGCAGGGTTAGGAAGCGGCCTTCTGCTGAGCCAGGTTCTGGGTCCGTCAAGCTCAGTCTCGCTGATACCGATTGGCAGCAACTCTACAAGGTTTTGGGCAGGCGTTTTCCCAGCCCACCCTGGAGATGCCAGGCACCAAGCCTGAAACCTGCATGCAAAGCAAAGGTTTAACCCCTGAGTTATTGTCTTCACCTAGAGATGAAGTAAGACTCCAGTCCTCATTGTTCTGAATAAAGAGCTGAATTCAACAGGAAAATAAACTGTCTTTATACTGAATCAGATCTTGTCCATGTGGGCCCCTGTCATGGATTTTACAAGCCACTATTCCACTATGTACACAGTCAGCCTTTCTCCCGCTTTCTGGGAACTAGTCCGTTTCAGTTTTCTCCTCATAGCAAAGGCAGCTCTTATCTACCAGATGATTAGGGGACACGGCTTCAAGGCACTCTCACTGGTGTTCTTCCAGACAAGTTGAAGGCTATGTGCTTTTGGCTTGCTTTCAAGAAACTAGCCTGGCTTTTGGACACTGGGAAAATTCACTAGACTCAACAACGTTTTTGCCATTCTTCTGGAAAAGCCTAAAACATACAAACTTTTAGTTTTGGAAAGTGACAGCAAAAAGCAAAACAAGCAAGCAAAAACCCTTGAAATAATACCGCATGAGCATTTGTGAGCTGGAATCTACAAGGTAAGAGAAGGTTCCTATGGCCCCCTAGACAGCATCTAGGAGACCATAGGATATTCCGAATTCCCATATCCAAGGTTGGAGGCAAAGCTCTGACCCTGGAGCTGAGAGTCTACACTCCAACCGCCCACCTCAAAGCCAGTCCAAGAAAGCACCCTGCAGACCGCCTCTCCAAGGTTGGGAAGTCAACTTCAGAAAGAGAGTAAGGCAGAATTGATTCTAGGACATGGGAAGGGGGAAGGACTGGGGCCACCTATTCTCAGTCCTGATGATGTACTAGCATCACAAGCAAAATCAACAAAGTTGTGCCTTAATGAACTCTCCATTCTGTATCATATGCAGGGTTCATTCCTGAAGAGCAGCTTTTCTGCTTGACTGGGTAACACTTCATGCTCTGTTGCATTTATTTCATGCTTTCATGGAGTTCCTTTATATTATTTGATTGAGGACAGCTTATAATGATTTTGTTTTTTTCTTTTAAGTGAAATTATTTCTCTGTACATCACTCTGAGACTGCTTTCTGCAGAGAGAAGCAATGTGTACATTTAGTAGTGAAATGTAGTAGTGACACACTGTATAATTCCTGACCAGTCTAGATTAATTCCTTTGATTGTATAATTTGTGTGATATAAATGGGAAACGGCTTTTTTGTCTTTTTTGAAATTGCATGAAGAAAAGCCTACAGAATGTACAAGTTGGATCTTTGACAGAACAGAGCTTCGGACAGAGGCTTTGTTACCACATGTCCTCATTCACACACATTCAGTCATGGCACGGTGAACCCAAGATGAGAACACTCCTTTTTACTGAATCAGACCCTTGTGCCATCTGGCCCAGACCTGCAGGCACTAACTGACAGTTACTCTCTTTCCTAGACCTTCCAGCAGATTGTGGGCACTGAATCTGAGACCTTCTGCATTTTTGCTCAGGCTGAGATTGTAGAGAAGCCTGAAACAGAGTTCTTTGTCCACTCAAAAACAGCTTTTTCACAGCCTGGAGCCCACCGACTTGTTGGATGCCAAATCACCCCCAGTCAGCCAACAATAACCCCCTCCGGCGACATCTCCCACTCCCACGCAGCGCATTCCCACGTTCTGCCTCCCCGTGTCTGGCTGAGGGTGATGGACGTTGTAGTCCAACAGATCCGGAGGGCGCAGGCCGTCCTGAAAGGTGGGTTGTGAATGCCAAAGGTTACCATCCCTTTATATCCGGGTTTCTCCAAATCCGCATTTTTATAGCCTGGGAATGACAGAGGCGGAGCGGGGGAACAGGGCTTGCACAGAGGGGGAAGCGCGGCTGGCTGGTAGCTTGCACGGATCATCCCTTACTCTTTCCGGACAGGCAAGCACCACCACGAACTCCGCTCCCCCGCAACGCTCCCACTCTGCATTTCCTGCGACGTGTCCCACCCCCACGCGCGCATTCCCACGTTCAGCCTCCCCATTCTCACCACGCGGCCGCCATTCATCTCCCGCTGTGCAGCGGCTGAGCGTTCCAACCGGAAGGAACTCTCGGGGTTTTTTTCACTCTCCCTTTCTACCAGCAAAAGCCTTTGAACTTTCTCAGCCCTTCTAGGAAACTCGTTCCAGTCAGCTCTATCATCTTAACCCGTCAAATAATCCCCCCTTCACAGGAAAAGAATAGCAGCAACGAGAAGGGGTTTTGGGGCGCAGGTGGGGGTTAAGGGTCGTACAGGAATATTTTTCAGACTTGGGTACGAAAGAGACCCAAGCCCCACATGCCTGCAGCTCCAGGATCATCTCCTGGAGATGAAAGGTGGGACATTCGGGACAGATAAAAGCACAGCATTAGATTAAGCGGTTGTGATGGCCTCCGACTTGGAGAGCTTTAAAAAGGGGGTCCCTAAAGCGGGATTAGGGACTTCATAATGAGAGGGAAAACTTCGTGAGACCTACAGCAACATTGCTTTGCTTTCTCTCCAAATATAGGAGTAGCCCTGCTCAGCGTTCATGGAAGGATGGGGGCCAGATCGCAACCCTCTTCCCTCGCTCAGGACTGGCTTGAATAGAAACTTTTTTATTCTTCCGTACTTTTAATGTTTAATTTTAACTGTGTTTTTATGCTCAGTTCGTGGATCACTTGTATTATTTAGGTATATATGTATTTACTGGATTTGAATTGTAAGCCCTCCAGAGACCAACTGGGTGTCTGGACGGGGTAAAAATACCCAAATAAATAAATAAATAAATAAAGCTGCCAAGGATGCAAATTTGCAGAGGACACAACATTGGGTGGGATAGCTAATACCCTGGAAGACAGAAACTAGATTCAAGGTGATCTTGATAAGTTGGAGCGCTGGATGGAAAAGAACAGATAGAAATTCAGTAGGGATGAATGCCAGGTTCTGCATGTGTTGTTATACCATGGGGGGTGCAAGTGAGAAGAATCATAGAATTGTTGTGGTTCACAAGCTGAATATGAGTCAACAATGTGATGTGGCTGCAAAAAGGGCAAATGCTATTCTGGGCTGCATTAATAGTAGCATCACTTCCAAAATCCACGAAGTACTAGTCACCTATCGCTCAGCACTGGTTAGGCCTCACCTGGAGTCCTGTGTCCAGTTCACACTTCAAGAAAGATGGAAACGAACTGGGGAAAAGTTCAGAGGAAGGCGACAAGGATGATCTGGCGAATGGGACCAAAGCCATCTTGAAAGAACTGGGCATGTTTAGCCTGCAGAAGAGGCAGCTGAGGGGACATTGCACTGCACTTTCCAAATACTCGAGCGGATGTCACAGAGGAGGGCCAGGATCTCTTCTCGGTCATCCCAGAGTACAGGACATGGAAGAACAGCCTCAAGTGAGAGGATGTCAGATTCTGGCTAGTTATCAGGAAAAATTTCCTGACTGGTACAGCAGTACAACAAGGGGCCAGTTATCTGGGGAGCTGGTGGGCTCTGCCTCACTGGAGGCCTGCAAGAGGCGACTGGACAGCCATCTGAGAGGGTCGGTATAACTGGGAGTCCCGCACTGAGCAAGGGGGTTGGACCCAATGGCCTTAATGGCCCCTTCCGACATTATTATTATTATTATTATTATTATTATTATTATTATTATTATTATTATAACATTTCTATGCCGCCCCTTGCCGAAGCCTCGGGGTGGCTTACAACACAGTAAAATACATTGAAATACAATAGAACATAATAAATTACCAATAAATACGAAAATACAAAAAATACATTGAGATACAAACATCATAATATAAAATTAAAATTAACAGTATAAAATAAGTAGATAAAGAATACAGGAGGAGAAAAGAGAAGGAAGAAGAAGCTCTCTCTCTCTCCCTCTCTCTCTCTCCCTCTCTCTCTCTCTCTCTCTCTCTCTCTCTCTCTCTCTCTCTCTCGTTTTGAAGAAAATGAAGTCGGGCATCTGGCAGGAGCTGTAGGATCCTTACTCCCAGAATCTAATATAATCTAACAATAGATTGTCATGTGCTGTCAGGCTGTCTCCAGCTTATGGCGACCTTATAATTGAACAAAAGCCCGCCACCGTGTCCCATCCTGAACAGTCCTGCTCAGGTCTTTTAAATTCACAGTTGCAGTTTTCTTTATGGAATCAATTCAGCCCAGAGTGTGCCTCCCCCTTCTTTTTCTTCTTCGTCTTTATTTATTTTATTTTATTTTATTTTATTTATTTTTCTATTTATATCCTGCCTTTTTCCTACAAAGGGCTCAAGGCAGCTTACATCATTCTCCTCTTCCATCTTATCCCCACAACAACAACCCTGTGAGGTAGGTTGGGCTGAGAGTCTGTGACTGGCCCAAAGTCTCCCAGTTGGCTCCATG